TATATATATTTGTTATTTAATCGAGTTATTATGAAGATAAGTGCTGAATAACTTTCTAATGGGAATAATAGTAGTACTAGCAGCAGTTCATTGGGTAGTAGTTGTAAAGCTCTAATGTACTGTTGATTACAAGCACCCCGCAGGCCATCATTCAAACATACGTACAATGATCATATATATAGAGCGAGAAACGATTGGCAAAAATAACGGTGGCGTCGAGGGAGTACGTTGCGTTTAAGTACATTACTGTTTAAGGAGACAGGCGTATAAGGCCTTCGAATATGAAAACGAATACAAGCATAACCATCAGTAACAATTAGTAACTGTAGATTTATAAATGGCAGCCTTTGCGCGCCTGGCACGGTACCTTGGGCACCACCTAATTGTTTTGATATAGAGGTGATTTATTTTCACGATAAGGCAAGCGGAGGAACCGGAGCGCAAAACGAGTTAAGTAAGTGAAGCAGTTGTCCGTGCTTCGAGGTCAGTTGGTGTATTCTTGCCTCGTACGATCCCACAACATTTTTCTCCGCTCGGGCTTGACGTAATGTTAATTCATGTCATGCGGAGGGAACACGTAGACTTAGAGATCGCGTGCTCTCTGTGACCGGCAACTCTTCAAATATCGCGTTTTAGCTTCTTGACGGAGCAGTCTCTCCGGCAACTATTACTCCCTAATTATGAGTAATTGCAATCCAAGGTGGATGCCTTTTTGCAGAGCTTCTATGAAAGTTCACGTATGAAATAGTCTGAATTCATACACCTGTACGCGGAGATAAGAGGGCCCCATAGTAAGCCTTGCCACAGATACGTTTTTAACGCTGATCGGGGACTTACCATAGGAAATGAAAATTTCCCACATGGTGCCCGTCTACCATCCCGCTTGATGATAAATTGGGTAAATTGTTTTGGGCTTCTATTTAAAAGCTTCATGCGGTCTATCCGGCTTTACTTGCCTCTATATTGTTAGTATCTGGTACTGAAAAATTAACACGATATCATTCTAAGTAGTCTGAAGCGCAGCTATTGCCTTTACTTAATCCACATGCATACGTTGATTCTGAAGATCGTATTAGCAGACGCATCTCTTTGTTGCTAGGTGTATTTAAAATCCATTGAAAAAGACATTATTGTGTAAACAATATGACAATATGCTACTCTATCCGCTTGACTTTGATCCTGTGCTTTATTGCAAAAAGATCGATGGTTACTCGATTAAGTTTCATTTGCTCATAGTAACCAAAAATTTTATGTACGCAAGTCAACAACACAACATCCCGAACCACTACGTCATGTGGATTGTAAGATTTCCTAAATGTGCTAAACATGGTCGCAAGGGTCACCAAGCGACAAAACGTCTGTCACAGCGTCTACCGCAGCTGGAACACCGGCATGTGTCATCAGGTCCATGGGGATCTGGCTTCCTGCAGAGTCTATGGTGGAAGCCATGCTCAGCAAAGCAAATGACAACACGTCTGTTCGACTGGCTCTTCCCTTTCCAGTCGTTATTCCTCATTGCTCTCTACGAATTTTTTTCTTCGAGTTCCTAGGATTGGTCTTAAAGGCTGTTGTTGCTACGAGCTCAAAGCAGCCGACGATGCCGGTCTTCGGGCAGCAGCAGCGAGTCGGATAGGATATACGAACGCGATTTCGTCCCAGAGCTCTTTTGAGGGAGGACACCACCCAATTGTACAAGGTTCTCCACTGTAAGATCTTCCTCCCGGCGATTGACTGAACAAGTTAAGACGATTGTGCTGGACGAGCGATGAGTCGATTTGATCACTTAAGTGTCTAACACTTCCTTTCAATACGTGCGCAGTGAAACCTGTGCCTTTTGTGGGAAAGAGCAACCCCAGGTACGATTCACCTAGGCAAGGGGTGATATATTAGGTGCTTGCGGTTACTGTTGTGCCTGCCTTCGTTAATTGCATCGTCTTCTTTTTGGATAAATCTGTGATGGCCACCCGGGGCCGGGTTAAGCCTCGCTGCACTTGAACCTTATTTGACCGGTATATCAAAAAGTTGCTTGCATACAAGATGACTTCGACTTATTTCCTCTGCCCTCTTATTTGATCAGAGAGACCCTTCAGCAGCATGGAGAATAAGAATGGACCTAGGTCTCCTAGTGGCTGGAGTGCATTTAGCAGATTTTAAAGTATAGGTAGGTTATATATAGAACATTTGTATAGTTCATGCGCCCGCGGAAAATTACGTGAAGACTCTCTCTTGGCTAAAGCACAGCCCTTCTAGCGGGAATGCTGGCAAAATATTGGAAGACAGCAAATGTAAATGATCTATAGCGCTGTTGATCAAGCCTCAATATGTGGTGATCGGTTAGGATATCTGTAAAAAATCTCGCTGTTCTTAAAGTGTTTAAAGCTGCGGCGATGATTCAACGAAACAATGAGTTTTCTTCCTACATTCATTATTATCGTTTACGCAATGGCACTACCTTGTCTGTCTTTAGCATGGAATGCCAACGCAAATCAGATACATTATAAATCGAATTACGAACCATTTGTCATCATAGTCAAGACACCTTATGGTTAGATATATATACATAGTCTCCCGATAGTCGTGACCATTAGCCTGCTGCGAGCACTATAATACGTATGATCCCTGCGCCATGTGGCTATTACTGCGTGCCCAGCCACCGTCAACGAGTCAGGACCTAGTCTTGGTTTTCGTGATTGTTGTTGTAATGCCGGCAGCAGCGGCAGAGATGATAGCGGTAGTAATGCTAGCCAACAGAACGGGACCTAGAGAGCAAGCGGGCCTGCTAGCAGACAAACGACCGACCGGGGCGGCAGGCTATGTCTGTGCGGCATGCATGCAGAAGCACTGTTAGCAGGTAGTGAAAGGTACAGTAGAGTAGGCATCATTTGCACTCGAACTCCTCGGTCCTCGGCCTGGACCACTACATCATCATGATCACTGGAGCAGCTGCTGCCATTGGTTCGACTGGGCGCCAGAGGCAACAGCGAGCGTTCGGTTCCTTTGGCTTCTATCCCAGGAGGCTACATCCATTGTCAGGATAATAGCAATAGCCACAGCTAATTAAACAACTGCACGTTGTGGTGCTATTGCTGCAGTCGCTACCACTGGTTTTCAGGACAACGGGAAGCTGCAAGAACCTTAAGGCGAATCCATGGCGGGGCAAAGATGAGGTAAATGGAGGATGGGAACAAGAAACAGACTGTGCGAGAACCCGCTGGCATTGTCCTCGTGTTTGTCCCAACACTTTGATGAGCGGGTATCAAAAAAGGGGTCACAACAAACCCCCCAAAGCCGAGGTCATGTTTGAGAGTTTTTTTTTTTACTGCGCCTTTCGTTGCTTTCGCCTCAGCCCCATTGTAGCCTTGCCTATCCTGCATGACTGGCTACCCGTCTGCCTTTTCCTGTAGTATCTATGCCCACCTGTGTACCTGTTTCTATTGCCATAGTGTCAGCTTTCTAGGGCCTGTCGCCACTACTAACACTCCATATATCCTCCTCTCTGCTACCCATCTTTATAATTAACCATTATTGCCCCCCTAGCAGTGGTTTGTCGCCCTGGTGTTTCCGTGCAGTGGCTAAACCTCTTCTTATTCAGATGCGCTTCTACAGATGTGCGGTCTTTCTGTCCCACAGCCTCTCCTTCTATCGTACACACATCCATATACTACGGCCATGCACAAACAACAAGGGCGCACATATGAACGAGACATGCTCAAAGACAAGATCAAGCGCGCAAGAATCTATAGTTGGTGGCTGCTTGGCGGCAATCGATGCTGTTGTTAGGGCTATGGCCGTGTGACAGGATGGCTTGATGGGTCGCTGCTCCGTGGCTTTAGGCCCGCGAGCCGTCCGGCCTACGGCGTCCAGTCGAGCCAACCTCTGCTAGGCGGCTGTCAGGGAAGCAGGCCTTGCTAGAGAGCGGTCGAAAGAAGAAAAAGAAGCGGCGAAGGCGGGCATCTCGGGCTCAGGTTAACCATCTATCGCCCTAACAACTTACATATCAACCTATTTTTATGGTCACACTATGAATGCAGTAACGGCCTGTCGATTCACCACTAACACTACCGTGGCCGTTGTATGAGCGTACGAATTACCAGAATTGCCGGAACCTACACGGACACCGAGGACGGAACGCCGCACTCCTGTCCTGACACTGTCGATCATACTTGCGATTTCTACTACTACTACTACTACCTGCAAGAGTAGTGAATACTGGTGGGTAGCAAAAGCGCCACCGATCCACTCGCCTATGCCGGAAAGCTGTAGACTATGGCATTCTAAACCACATTATTATTACTACACGCTATTGGTGCTGTTAACGTCACCATTATTGGCAGTAGCAGTAGCGACAATGGCGGCGGAGGCGGCAGAAGGCGTAACGACGACCGATAGCGCAATAACCAGCTCCCGCCGATCACAAGCGATAGCCAGACACGACGAATTCCCAGTTATTGATGTTGCCGTTGGTGAACGTATTGGTAGTGCCAATGTCATGTTCAGCTTAAAACACCTAAAATCGCGGCACCCAAGATCCAAAAGCAAACAGTCCGTCCGTACGTACGTACGCACGCATACATGCACACATCCGCGCTATCTTGTATTAAAATGGACACAATGGAAATGTGTGTGCGCATAAAAAAGAGGACAACGGCAGTAGCTCGGCAGATGTATGT